GGAGGCAACTCTTCGTATGGGTGGTTACACCCCAACCAACACATTGGTTCACGTTTGAAATAATGAACCATTGCATCGGTTCGGCCCATGGTAGTTGGACCGGTTTGGTTATTCCAACCGCCACATCGGTTCGGTTTGATTTGGTTCAACTCGGTTTGGTTTTGTCCTTTAGGTACACAAACCAATTTAACCGATTAATCACATATTACATCAAATCGATCGAATTCGAGGTCGTGCCTTCCCACATCTTACCAACATGGTACTTCAAGAGACTCTTGAAACTTTCCCCTTTTATTTCCATTCACACCACTTTAAATCCCAACAATGTTGACCTCATTTATGGTTGATGGTGTTGGGTTGCCATGTTCTGGTTTGGTTGATCGAATTAGGATATTAGTGAGTGGTATAAAATCTATTATTGAGCTTCTCCCAACAATTCGAGTTATTGGGATCAACTGGTTTTTGACATGGTATCAGAGTCTATTGTGGTCGAAAGGCCTTGTGTTCGAATCCCGGTGACCCCATTTGTGAAACACATATATTATCGTATTCAGGACATATGCAAACAAAAGCACTTATGAGTTGATTGACTTTCGTTTGAGGGTGTCAGGGTGTGTGTTAGGGAGTGGTATAAGATCCATTATTGAACCTTCCAACTTGAGGGTGTGTATTAGGGAGTGGTATAAGATCCATTATTGAACCTTCCAACTTGAGGGTGTGTGTTAGTGAGTGGTATAAGTTCCATTATTGAACCTTCTAACAACTCGAGTTATTGGGATCAACTAGTTCTTAGCAGGGAAGCCACCCATTTTGGAGTTGGAGTGTTAGTTTCAATTGGATTTGTTCTGTAAGTCAGCAGCTGTGCAATGTCATGGGTCATTTCTGTTGCTGTAATTATTAGGAAAGGAAAGTGATACGAGTGGGGGACTCATCACAAAGAAAAACCATAACATGCAGAAACAATATGATAAGATTTCACGATATAATCAACTCAACAATTTTGGTATCACTCATGACTCAACTAATAACAAAAATACAGAAATCGTGTGAATGCATGTACGATTCCGTGAGAGTCAATGCCCTGTTGAAGGTTTCTGTTTTGAATATCACGTAGAGGTACAGATTTAGTTGACCCGATATTAACTTGTTAACTACTGTTCGTTGAAATATGTTGTATGTTTTTTCCTGTTACTTTGCTTCCGGCCGGCTTAGTGGAAGGCAGGAAGGCACACCCTGCCCCTTATATTGGTCATCCTCACTCCTTCCTCAACGTGAATGTGAGCTTCTTCTTCTTCATTTGACTTTGCACTTGTTTGTATGGTGGAGTGGTGCAGTGCCATTTCTAGTTGACCAGTCAATTCCCAAGGAATAAACCAACATTTCATTTTTTATGAATCGGTGGGATTTTTATTCATGAAAAAGCGTTGCTAGCAACAACCTTGCTAGCTAGATGAACCAACCAAAGGCGGGAAAACAATTCGTCAGGGAAAACTATGAAACGAAAATCTTAACCTCAGTTAGACATTCCAGAACAGGCTAACCCACTCCCTACTCAGAACACATTCAACTTCCGATTTTATCAACTTCAATAAAGCATGAAAATCTTAGCGCCATCGTCATACATCTGCCTACAACACTCCCGCCATACCTGACTCATCCATGACTGCCAGATGAGTCTCCATGTTTCAGCAGCTTTAGTTGAGAGGCTAAGATTCGAGACCAGCCACGAAATCAGTCCCTCCCAGGTCTGAAGCAAAGGCACCTATAGGTAACCATCGAAAAGCGAATCGAGAAGTTGTCTTGTGAACGGACATAGAACAAACAAGTGTTGCCTGTTCTCAATCCCTCCACCACAGAAAACACAGGACATAGATCCCAAATACCCCCACTTTTGCGTTCTTTCTTTTGTAATAATGCTACCTCTAACAATCAATCAAGTGATGACACGATTCCTGGGAATAGATCTGCCTTTCCAGACAATCTTCCACCAATCCATAGGTTGCTGAGTAGGGCGGATGAGATGCCAAACTCTCTTGATAGATAACCGAGGCATAGGAAGGCCATTGAGAAGGAGTGCATCATCTCCGACATAAATTAATGAAGACACCCTGCTTCTTAACTTCAAGATTTTACGCCTGTTCAAAGAGCCAGATGAGCAGGTATAAGTCCAGAAGCACCTACCCTTCAATTTATATCGATTGAGCCATGCAACCCATATAGACCCTTCTTGCATTAGAATCAGCAAAATGTGTCTTATCATGCAGGCCTGATTCCAACTGTTCATATCCCTGAATCCCATACCCACTTCTTTCTTGGGAAAAGTCAATTTTTGCCACACCACATTTACTCGAAGCTTCACCCCCCCCCTTTCCACCCCCCAGATAAAATTGCTACAGATCCTCTCCACCTCTTTAACGACAGATTTTGGTAGCAAAATACTGCCATCCAAAATTGGGTTAAGCTGTACAGAGCTATTCCTACCAACTCTATTCTTCCTGCATAAGAGAGAGTTTTTGATTTCCAACATGTAATCCGAGCAACTATCTTATCTATGAGTGGTTTGCAAGCAGTCAGGCTTAGCTTTCCAGATATTAGAGGCACCCCTAAATACCTAACAGGGGAACCTCCCAACTTATATCCATATCTTTCAGCTCTCACAACCCTCTCTTCTTGAGGTAAACCACCAAAGAAAATTTCACATTTGCTAGGGTTAGATTTCAATCCAGAAATTTTCTTAAATTGATCAAGGATTCTTTGAAATTCTTGATCCCAAAATTAGCTGCATCCAGAAAGACCAAAAGGTCATTCGCAAAACAGAGATGAGTGAGCTTGATCCCCTTACACATTGGATGATAGGAAAATCGTCCAGCAGAAGCTGACTTATCAATTAGACATGTAAATAGTTCCATGGCAATTGAGAACAAATAAGGAGACAGGGGATCCCCCTATCTAAAGCCTTTCCTAGCTGAAAAATACCCAACCAATCCTCCATTAAAGCAAACACTTAGCATAGGAGTCATCACACACATTCTAATCCAGTTCACAAACCTCTTTGGAAACCCCATACATTTAAGCACTTGGAAGATAAAATTTCAATCAACCGAATCAAAGGCATTCATAAGATCTATTTTATTTTATAAGCATAAGATCTATTTTTAAAGCACACCTGGGGGAAATGTTTTCATGGGAGTATCGACTGACTAACTCATGTGCCATTAAAATGTTCTCTCCAATAAGTCGATCGTTAACAAATGCTGTTTGGTTTTTACTTATCAATGAGGGAAGGATAGGGCTTAATCTGTTTGCTATGAGTTTAGAGATGCATTTATAGAGAATGTTGCAACAAGAAATAGGCCAAAAGTTCTTCATATCATTAGGGTTTGGCACTTTAGGGATCAGGGAGAGAATAGTAGCATTAACTGGCCTAGGGACTCTATCTTGCTCAAAACAAAACTGAATAGAAGCTGTTACCTCATATCCAATAAGTGGCCAAGCATAATGAAAGAAAACCGCAGAGAAACCATCAGGTCTAGGGCTTTTATCTCCATCCATGGCAAAGATCACTTCCTTAATATGCTCATCAGTGAAGGGTTCACAAATTCCAGCAATCTGATCAACATTAAGCTTTCGTTGTAACAAGCCATTTATATAATCATCAGTTTGAGCCTCAACCTCATAATCTACCACACCTAGCAACCTTTCATAAAACCTAACTGCAATTTGAGACATTTCTTCAACATCCTGAATCTTCTCACCTTGTTCATTTTTCAAAACTCTTATAGTACTTCTCTTTTGTTCCGAGCGGATAGACCTATGAAAGAATGCATAATTCATATCACCTATTTTTAACCAGGATTCTCTAGATTTCTACTTAAGAAAAGACTCCTCAGCATCAATAAGAACATTTAGCTCCTGCTCCAGTCTCTTTTCAGTCTCAAAATTATCAGCAATGGGATCAGATAAAGTCTGTTGCTGCACAAGATGAACTTCAACTTCCTTCTCTTTTACTCTCTCCCTCAACTCCGAGTACTCCTCCCTGTTAAGCTTCCTCAAAAGGTTCTTCAGATTTTTCAGTTTTTTACATACTCTAATCAGGGGATGACCAGTAACATTACTCCTCCAAACTTCTTCCAAGAGCTCATCAAATCGAGGATGATGAAGCCAGAATTTGAAAATTTTAAATGGTTTCGGGATTGACTTCAAAGGACAATGGTCTGAGGCCCCAGGAGTTTGGATATGGACTTTACTATCTTTTAACTGATCTAATCAGGCAAAGTTAACAAGCATTCTATCAAGTCTTTTAGCAATCGCATTAGCTGGTTGCTTATTTATCCAGCTAAACTAGGGGGCAGATGCTTGGAGCTCTTCTAACTCAAGGTCAGTAATCCATTCCTGGAAAAATGTCATATTTGCATCCGTTCTAGGGGAATTCGAAGCCTCTGAGGAGTGCTTTATGTCGTTGAAATCCCCTAGGACAATCCAAGGAACTTGAACCACTTTAATTCCTTTTAACTCAATGTATAGAATCCGTCTAGAATTATGTACGTCAGTCGTACGTTGTATGCCTGTGGTCACACTTGGTTTTTGCACTTCAATATATTTCGCTGAATCAGAACCGTCGGTTATTATTTTTTAGATTAAATGAATCTCGTGGCTTGGATTAGAGAATTAAGGACTGGGGTTTATCCATTCGAGGTTAGGGTATAGTATCATTCTCAAAATTTCGGTTAATTCCTGCTCTAAATAGTAAAACTCGACAGACATACAATGTACAATTGAAATACGCTAGCCTGAACTCATATATAATATATATAATAGATTCGTGATTTATTTATTTTATCTTCGTGTCTTGTTAGGTAATTTTTTTAAGAAAAATAACAGCACACATTCTTGTTATTTGCGCATTGGCCTCCGCAAATTCTAGGACTTCCTTAACTTCAAAGAATCAACTCCAACTGCTAAAATCGACCAAATTTTTGGAATAAAAGTGTATCTCTAATGCCCACATCCTCGTCTTATTCTAAGGGGAAAAGCAAATATAACAATCTTCCAAGTACAAAATACACCAGCCAGCCAGCAAGACACTCTCACTTTCTGCTCTTCAGGATGACTAGAAACACCATCCGGAACTATGTAAGCTCGATCGCTTATTCTTTTTCAGTTCTTTCAAGCAGCAGAAACTAATAAAAGTTTTTTCCCAACACAAGAGGATTCCTGCTGAGCACATTAATCCCCTCCATATTGTTATTGCAATTGGAAAAAAGAAGTCACCTCACTTTTGAAGGGAAAAGAATTGTCCACTGTCAAGTGAAACTCGGGAGGAGACAGTGCCTACCAGGAGGATTTTCTCAAGCAGTCTTGGCTAGTTTATTATCCGATGGCATCACATTATCAGGAAGGATGAGCTCTGGGGGTGTTTCACGAACAACACCCAGCATCGAGTCATACTCCTCGTCCCGGTTGGCAAATTTCTTGTGCAGCATCTTCTCGAATTCGATCTCATCGAACCCTTTGTTGTTCGCCGCTACATGGACCTTAGCCAGATTGTTGTAGTTTAAAGCCGACTGGGAGATAAAAGCCATCTCTTCTTCGGTCAGCTTCCTCAAGAACTTAGCTGGGTTGCCTCCCCATACCTGAACATCCACACGAATGGTTGGTTATCAATAGCTAAACAGGGAAACTACAATTGGGGCCTGAATCCTCCTAATTACATTTACCGGGTGAGTGTGCGCATGAACATGAATTGATTTTCCACTATTAAGGGCTCATATTAACTTCACCAAACACATGGTGCTAAGAAAAACCATGTAAAACTGCAAGAAGGATGCCATAGCATAATGGCCAAGTGCCTAAGCCAACCGCCATTGAGTGGAAGCCACTTTGGTTCTACAGCTAAAAGTATGGAGTGTTTTTAATAACATTTCTTCAAAAATAGTGTTGATATGTTGTACATGAACATACAATGAAGTATCTTTACAGTAACCAGGAAACCAATTAGTTTTTTGAAATGTCTATAATGAAAAGAATAAATATCTTTGTAAGAAACAAAACCTCAAACCCATTCTTATGTGTGATGTGGAATTTATAAATTAATAGTATGTATGTCTACCGAGAATAGTTGTTGTATTTAAACATTTAGGGGTCGAGTTTACGTATATTTGTTTGATAAATATCTACATCTAATATCTAAAAAATAACATGAAGCAAACATAGCCAATCACTTTCAACATTCCAGCATGTATCCACTACTAGCTGCCACTGCAAAAACACAAGGATACCACACTATGGTTTATCAGCTATAAAGTAACATTTTGATTCAAAAAGCACACCCAAGGAGTTCCTCGAAAAACTAGCTACAACTAAATGCTAACTAGGTAGAGTCTACAGGATCAAATTCCTTTATTCACATGAAGGTTAGCATGTAAGAATTGTTGTGAACAATAGGATCACTGAGGAATAACTTGCTCACCTCACCACAGGGGATCCTTGTATTCTGCCTTACAAGAGGTCCAGCAGCAACCATGGCATGTTTCTCAACATAAGAACCATCAAGAAATGTTGCACCCATACCAACAAACGCCTCATCCCCCACCGTGCATCCATGCAAGACAACACTATGACCTGCCACCATAGATATTGGTAACATCATCAGAACAGATAGCCGAATAACCTGAACTTGTATAGTGAATACACATTCAGGAGGTAACAGTTGCAATAAGGATGCCGCTTACCAACAGTGACATTGTCACCAATAATAGTTGGTAGAACCTTTCCGCTTAGATTGGTTTTTGCGACATGAACAAGTGAATTATCTTGTATGTTGGTTCCTGATCCAATGTGGATGCTATTCACATCACCTGCGTTAAATGTTCAAAATGAGACAAGAAAGGCCTTCTACAATGCATGACAACAAGTGAACCATTGCAGACCACGATACAAGACCATACAGGATATGATTAAAAGGAGACAGAAAAGACACAACCAAAGTTGTTCATTTACAAAAGGGTTCCTAGAATCAAAGGAAAGACAACATAAACAATCAGAAAGCAGCTCACCTCTCAGAACACATCCATACCAAATGGATGAGCCTCTTCCAACCTGAACATCACCAATGACAGATGCACCGGGAGCAATGAATACATCCTTGTTGACAGTAGGAGCTTTGTCAAAAACGTTCATGATGGTCCTATGTCTAGAAACTAGTTCCCAAAAGCGTTTAAGTTAGACACAAGAATAACACATCAAACACCATCTGTAAAGTTATATACATGTTCAGCACACCACATATCTAGAAATGAACAGAAATGCCACAAGCATCAAGGAAGAAGGATGCTAAGCTCCCAGATGCACCAGATTGAGATCAAAACGTAAAATGCAGTCACTGTAGGAACCAATTAGGTTAAAATAGCAGCAGTGCCATCGACCGCGGCTACTCTGGTACCCTAATCGGAGCACGCTAATAACACATAGCACTGACAAACGACTTGTCATGAGTCGACAGACGAATTTTTTTCCTTCGTCAGCTCTTACATTTCCATCTAAGCCACACTCCCCCTTTCACGAAACAGAAAATCATATGAAATAGCAAACTGGAGCTACCGCCTACCAAAGCCACGCCTAGGGACAAATTCGGGTTCTGAAGCAAAACTAAGATAGAGACGTAGAAGGAGGAGAGAACTCACGGTGTTCGCGGAAGGAATGGTTCCTCTGGAGGCTGGAACCGAGGCGATCAAGGGCTTGGCCGGTCTCTCGGATCCAGAATCCGATGGTGTAGACAGCTTTCCCCAGCGTTCCCATCGTTCGGAGCGGCGGAACTTAGCTCGATCGATCGAGGATTGATTGCTGGTTTTCGGATTTCAGCTGAGAAGGAGAAATGGGGAAGAGAGTGGAGGAGGAGAAGGAACTACTGAGGGAGGGGTCGACTAGTAAATCAAATCCTCAATCTTCAAAACGCATCTCTGCGACCTGCGGACTCATCAGCGTCTACTCTTAGGTGTCTACACATAATATAATACACCGTAAGGAAAAATGGGAGCCCCATTTCAAATTTCCTGCAACGAGAGTGAAATTAGGAAGGGCATTTTGGTCTTCACAATTACTTTTTTTTTAATTATTAAAAAGACATTTCAAATTTCCTGCAACGAGAGCGAAAGTAGGAAGGACATTTTGGTCTTCACAATTACTTTTTTTTATTCATTAAAAAGACACGTACTGAGATTTGAACCATGACCATTTTAAAGAAAAGCAAGGATCATAACCAATCACACTAAGTACATTTGTTGTATCTTTTTAAATTAAAAACATATAATAGCAGGGAGGAAAAAACCCTTCCCCCATTTCAAATTCCCTGCTCTAGGAGCGTTTGTAGGAAGGGTAGAATATGGAGTGTCAATTTTTTTCTCTTTCCTCTGTGGAACGGGCCAACTTACCGTACACATGCGGATTTAAACGGGTCCAGGAGTGTCAATTTTTTTCTTTAAGCCTTTTTATTTCTCCGTGGTGATAAAATATATATGAAAATGCAAAAAAATACTCCTTTTTATTGCTTAAAATAAAAAAAATTAACAATAAACTAATGCACGGTATCTAATGGGCTAATCGCTAACCATAAAATAAAAGAGTTGAATGGGCCTGACCTACACGGGATTTGGCCATCAAGTAAAACAAATGAACAACGTTGGTTTGTCATTCTAAAACAAGCTATTTTCTCTGGCATAATATATATTATGCTATTATTTTATATCTTAGTGGTTAAAATATAATGTATTTTAAAGTTATTCAATGTTCAACCTCGACCAACCCAATTAGTCTAATTTTTATCATTTTAAATATATATTATATAATTATTTGATATCATAATGATCAAATTATAGTGTATTTTATAGGGAATCGTTTGGTATTTGTTAGTAAAAAACTAAACAGAACGATCTATTTGTTTATTTTAAACATTAAAATGATCCTAAACATTTTCAGTTCCTTTTGAATTTTTATGTTTAATTCCCGAATAAGTGATGAGCAAATGGCGAATTGCAGTCATCTATTTTCTTTCACTTTTTTTTATTTTCAAATAGAAAGTATAAAAGTAAAGAATAATTAGAATTTGGCATGGGTCAGTCAAACATGCTGAATTTCAAGTTTTGGCCTGTTTTGATCAAGTCTAATTTATAATCACATGGTTCCCTGATACCCCATAAAAATCTCAATCCAAACCAGTTTGGCAGGTGAGTCTGTGTTTACCACCATTTTCTAGGGATACGACAACGGCGGTTCCTATCCCAAATCATGTTGTTCGTTCTTGATTTCCTTAGATTTTATCATGGCCTAACAAAAATCAGAAAGCACAATGACGACAATATGAAAGTTTTATAAAGAAAATTAATCGACCAACGGGCCGAATAAAAGCTAGCAACGATTGTGAGATTCTCATTTCCCGAAAACCGACGGGAGAGGCGATTTTTTATTCAATTTCCTGGAATTCGGTTTCTATAAAACTTACTCCACCTCATCATATTACCAGAAACAATCCTGTTTCGCAAGGTAACATGTACTTGATTTTGGTTCATAAGGCCGATTTTTGATTCATTACATCATTCATGTATCTTTCATGCTAAAATTCACTATTTTTATCACGAGTTTCCCAAAAAAAACTATACAACAATAAGCTAGACACCCCATTACATTATCAAATTTCATACCTCACCTTCCTCCGGCCAACTGGCCGAGGCCCACGCTAGTTTGTTAATGGGGTTAAATGCACCGGGTATCACTTAACTAGCGCATTTGTTGTACACTAGTCACTTAATCGAATTTGGTTTCAACTAAATCATTTAAGTCAAATTCCGATAGCAACGTTAGCATTTCGGTCACGAGACACAACGATAAGTACTAAAGCAATTTTCCGTGACCTGCTGGCAATCCATGTCAGCAAAGTTGTTGGCCACATTCAACTCTGGGCCACAAACCGGCTAAGACATAAGTTGTCCGGTCGGCTTCTCTTCTCCCTGCTCACGACAATATCTCCTCGTTCCTAGACTCGGAAAATGCCTCTCCGCTGACAACTTTAGCGTCTACTTGTGCTCAACCCCGGTCAATCTACATCCATTAAAACCAAAACTCTCTTCATCACCTATCACACTGGTGAGGCTTCGTCTCTCATCCTCCCCACAACTCCCTCCCCATTACCACACCACCAACGACCTTCCTTCTCACCTCATGCCTTCAACCTTCTCCACCGTCCTCATCTCTGTATCCTCGTCATCTATGACTTCCTCCCCATTAATATGTTTATATATTTTCATTACCACACCATCAATATGTTTATATATTTCCATTATTAACGTACATGCATTCTTTATTAATAATATCACCTTCATTATCAATTTTACTAATCCCATTATCAATTATTTCTTGTACTTTTGTTATCCCGCATTACAAAAATTGTTAAAACTAATAATGTGTGCTGAGGGTTTTTCACTAATACAGTTTATGATCAATTTACGTCGCCATGATTTCTAATCTTTTGAAGGGCTATGGTTAATCTTTTTACCCGCTCAATAGTCAATGTTCATCGTACTGTGAATGTTGTCCGATAGGCCTGCTAATTATGTTAGGTTGTGCTATTAACTTTTTCTATTGTCGCTTTGTAATTGTTTTATCAATTTGTTGGTAATAGGTATTAATTCACTAATATAGTTTATTATTAATTTAGTTCATAGTAATTTGTAATATTTGGAAGTGATGTCGTCAATCGTGCATGATTTGATAATGACCCGTCTTATTATTAAGCGTGTGCTATTATTAATCTGTCTGCTGAATTTACGTGTAATATTATCAATCTTAGTTTATTGTTAACGTTTCTTCATTCATTGGTAATATTTTCAAAGTCATGTTCACTTTTTTACAAGTGTGCCATTATTAATTTGTCGGTTGAATTAACGTGTAGTATTAACAATCTTTGTTCATTATTATCGTTTTTTCAGCATTAGTAATATTTTGCACGCCATTATCATTAACGCCTCACCCCCCCCCCCCCCCCAAGGTAGGGATCGCAACAAAACCCGAACCCACGGGTACCTACCCGACCCAACCCGGTCAACGCGGGTAAAATCCGTGTGGACGGGTTTTGGGCCGGGTTTGGGTTTAAACCCGTTCACTATTCACCGGGTTGGGTTGAGTTTGGGTTTAGGTAAAACCTGCCCATGGGTACCCGCCCACACCCATATAATTAATTTTCTCGGCATATTTAATAATCTAAACAACTAATCTTATTTATGTTTGTGGAGACATGTCTAATTTTTTCTTTCTAGTTGTGTAGAATGAAGTTGATGTTAATCATGTTATCGAGTGGAGAGTGAAAAACTTAATTGAAAGGAAGAAGCTTTCAATTAATCATGTTATTTATGAATAATTTGTGATTTGCTTCAATTTTATTGAATTTTCTAGATTGGTGTTGAACAATATGCATAGTTAATTTGTGATTTGCTTGAATTTTCAAGAATGGTTTTTTATATATGGATAATTTGTATTGAGAGATTAATATTTGACTTTAATTTTGATAGGAACTTGTTATTGTAAATTTTTTACTTCAAAAACCCGTGGGTACCCATGAACCGGCGGATACCCAGCGGGTTGGGTTTGAGTTTTTCAAACCCAGTGAGTTTTACCCCGGGTTTTTTTCACGGATAAACCCATGGGTTTGAGTTTGGCAAAACCCGACCCAACCCAACCCATTGCCATCCCTACCCCCAGGTGGTACAACAAATCCAGCTCCGTGAGGTCCCAAGCGAGGTTGAAGATGATGAGCCAACGTGGAGATTTACCCTAAATGGCCAATTCTCACTTAAGACGACATATGCTCTAATTGATGAGGAGCATCAGCCTGCGCCAGCCAACCACATCTGGCGGACAATTTGGTAAGCTCCGGTGATCCAACGTATCAAGGCCTTTCTTTGGTTGGTGGGGGCACAATAGACTGTTGACGAACGCGGAACGAGCAAGGCGACATCTTACCAACTCTTGCTCTTGCCCTGTTTGTGGGGACGGTGTCGAGACCACAATACACGTGCAGTGCTCCATGACTGCCCTTTCGCGAGGGAGGTTTGGTCCTCCTTCTTTGAGAATGAACCAGATGATACATTTTTTCAGCATGACATTGTGCAATGGGAGCTCCATTACTTATCAGGAAGGAGTGAGGCTCTGGATGCGACGATGTTCTCGGCGGTATGCTGGCTACTTTGGAGGAATAGAAATGAGTTTGTGTTTGAGAAAAAAATGGGAACAACTTCACAAATACAGAGTGGCGCCCAGAGATTGAAACATAATATGGAGGAGGCTTTTTCGCGACAGATTGGTTGGCGGAAGCCACAACCCGGGTGGTCCTATATCAACACAGATGGGTCAGTGGTCCTGGGCCAATAGAGCTAGGCGGCAGGAGGCGTAATTCGAGATGAGGATGGGAGATTCTTAGGCGCCTTTGCTATGAACCTGGCTGAGGGCTCAGCCACTCGAGCTGAATTGATGGGCATTATCCAGGGCCTGCAGTGCGCGTGGGAGCTCGGAGTCAGGAGAGCGGTACTTCAAACGAACTCAAAGGCGGCGGTGGATCTTATCCAGTCTGCAACTACATCGCATCCACACTACGAGCTTGTGCTACAGGTGAGAAGATTGAGATAACGACAATGGGAGACCGAGGTTGAACGTGTCTATCGGGAGAGGAATGTAGTGGCCGACTTTGTGGTGTCAACAGGGCACACCCTGCCCTTTGGGGTACATTCGATTTCTATCCCATCTCCAATTTTAAACTACTGGATGTTGTATGACCTGGCGGGGAACCAAACCCCCAGGATTGTATTCGATTGATAGGTTGGGCGCCCTTTAGCGCCCGTTTCTTACCAAAAAAAATAAAATTGTAGTGCTACACGATATGCCACAATCCAAGATCTGTAAGAACAAACTTGTTATCGGCTCACTACATCCGTTGCTTGCCATCGAAAAGAATCGCGACGGAATTGTCAACGTAACGGAGGAGCCTGTGGATTGAGCAGCTGGTGGATTGAGATTTTCGAGACGATGTAATGGCGTTGTCAACATTTTCAACCTTACATATTAGTGATTTGGCTTACATTATTAACATTTTGTACTGACGCTACTATAGTTATCAATAAAAAGGTGATTTATGGTCGTGTTGTCAACATTGTTAACCTCCGCGACTCTATTATTAATTATATTACTGAAATTATTAACAGCTAACTAAAACCATGTGCAATAAGGGGAGCCTCTGATTTGAGATGTTTAGAGCAACGTAACTGAGTTGTCAATGTTGTCAACAATACATATTAGTTTTTTTACATATGTTATTAACATTTTTCCGTGATGCTATTATTAACGTTCTCAATCAAATTGAAACGTGATTTATCGATCGTGTTGTAAACATTATTATCCTACCACATCATTATTATTAATTAGATCATCAGAATTATTAACTAGTAACTAAAATGCTGTCACAATAAGATTAGCTTCTAATTTGAGGTTTTTAAAGCAACATAACTAAGTTGTCACCATTTTAACAGTTTATTAGTGTTTTTGCCTACATTATTAACATTTTTAGTGACGCTATTATTAATATTCTCAATCAAATTGAATCACGATTTACTTGTGTTGTAAACATTCAAGTGACGCTATTATCAACTTATCAGCTCAGTATTGTTTACAATATACAATATCATTATTAATATTTACTACATAATTTAAAACAAATGACGAATTCATTATTAAGAAATTCTTGTCATTTTTCAATGTAAAAAATAATATTATGAACTAAATCCGCCTCAACACATCTTCTCCTCCTTCTGCAAAAGCTTCCGTCAGGAGGCGTGACAACGGGAGACCAGCAAGATAGGGCGACGACCGAATGGGGAGATGTCGGATGGCGACGGGACACCGATGGAGTTAGGCAGGATGCGGCGGGATGGGGACGAGGAAGCTGACGGGAAATTAACGGCTTGATGGCATCATGACGACGTGTCCACGGGACGCCGACATCGGGATGGCAACGAGATGCAAACGTGGAGATTGCTGACGAAGCTTGGTTGTTGGGGAACGGGATGACAGGGTGTTGGTGAGTCTCCAAATGGTGTTCGAAACGAGCTTCGCGCCCAGTGGATACCGTCGGCGAGAAGGTTTAGGATTAGAGAGGACAACCGTCTTCCGATAATGGCTTCGGCCGTCTCTTAATAAAGCATGAGTTTAATTTTCATTTTTCATTTTAATTATTATTATCATTAATATTTACTATATTCCTTTCTTGTCCTTCTAGGTAGTTAGTCAATGATTAGTAATGTTTTTATCTCTCCTCTTCCTATTGGCTGGAATAGGTTTAAGATCTTCCTTAAAGAATGAGACTTAAGGATCTGATCCAACCCGCAAATAACGAAGCTAAATGTTACCAGGCTGGATTAGGGATGGCAACAAAATCCGAACCCACGGGTACCCAACCGACCAAACCCGGTCAACGCGGGTAAAATCCGTGTTGACGAGTTTTGGGCCGGGTTTGTGTCCCGTTCACTATTCACCGGATTGGGTTTGGGTTTAGGTAAACCCGGCCCACGGGTACCCGCCCACACCCATATAATTAATTTTCTCGACATATTTAATATTCTAAACAACTAATCTTATTTATGTTTGTGGAGACATGTCTAATTTTTTCTTTCTAGTTGTGTAGAATGAAGTTGATGTTATCGAGTGGAGAGTGAAAAACTTAATTGAAAGGAAGAAGCTTTCAATTAATCATGTTATTTATGGATAATTTGTGATTTGCTTCAATTTTCTTGAATTTTCTAGATTGGTGTTGAACAATTTGTATAGTTAATTTGTGATTTGCTTGAATTTTCGAGAATGATGTTTTATATATGGATAATTTGTATTGAGAGATTGATATTTGACTATAATTTTTATAGAAACTTGCTATTGTAAATTTTTTACGACAAAAAACCGTGGGTACCCATGAACCTGCGGATACCCAGCAGGTTGGATTGAGTTTGAGTTTTTCAAACCCAATGGATTTCACCCCGGAGTTTTTCACGAATAAACCCATGGGTTTGGGAAAACTCAACCCAACCCGACCCATTGTCATCCCTAGGCTGGATGATGAAATCACAGCAGAAAATCTGCCGAATGCTTACAGCATTAGAAACCTGTAGATGGATGAGCTTGAATCGTCAATCAAGCTATTTGATCCAATGCGGCGTTGAACCGTCCATAACATCAAAAACGACCCCTCCCCCCCTAAATCCATCAAGCCAAAGCCACTCCCAAGAAATGCACCAACCGTTTTGTATAAAGGATTGAGTAGGAACAATACTGAAAAATGAAAAATACTGGTTATTCAACTCCTATCAGAGTTGTGATTCAGAGTATCACAGGTTTTAGAAAGAGAATTCAAGCATTTAAGTCAGAGCTGGTTTGCTGCTACACTTCTTCACTTGGGACGTCTGCAGCTTGTCCATCGCCAAAGTCACTCACTGCCTCAGATTTTCGACGATGTAGGATGCATACAGATCCCTACAATACGTAACACCTCCAAATAAGTCAAGAGGAGCAACAGTCTAAGGTTTTGTCCAACAAGACGAATCTACGAACTTAATCCACAACTTACATGGAATACTTGATGGCATCAACTGCAGCTTGAGCTGGCAAGAAGTCTTCTACATCAACTTTCTTGTTCTCGTTCTTCTTGTCTGTTATTCATGGTCAGTTAAGGTTCTCCAGTATCTAGTGTATATTCCTGTGGTTGCCACCAATTAAATGCTTCTATGTCCAATGTGCAAAACTATTTATCTGGCCCAATCAAAACTACGGAGCTAAAAAGTTTGTATGAATGGATACAGTCCTCAAAGAAGCGGCGAATTTCAGCCAAGCGATGAGGAGGAAGCTCCTTGATATCTGTGTAATGGCGAAACTCAGGATCATCTGCGCACACTGCTATGATTTTGTCATCCTTCTCTCCCTGCAATTAAACGTTTTTGCTACTGATTACTATTCAATTTGCATACCGAGGGCAAAATGACTTGAAGTTACCAGCCCCACAAAGTTAAAAACGAAGAAGCTTACTACAGGAAAGCTTAAGCCTTCTCACCTGGTCAATCATAGGCATTAATCCTATGGCACGAGCACGGAGGAAAGAACCAGTTAGAACAGGCTCCTACACATGATGACATAGAAAAAGCCCAAAGGCAGGTTAGAAGTCTGAAATCTTGTGTTACATACTTATACGTTATTCTGACTGCAACGGAGTCTTAGAGAAACTTACCTGCATGAGTACCAGGACGTCCATGGGGTCGCTATCCTCACAGAGGGTTCTAGGAATAAACCCATAGTTATGCGGGTACACCACTGATGAGTAGAGAATACGGTCAACCTATTTAACGTTTATGGAATTGCAGCAGGAAAATATTCACATAAGTTAGATCAATCAAAACTCAAAGTACAATCTACCTAGGTTATAAACCTAAAGATAAGTGAGGCTCAGGGAAGGGAAGAAGATTCATACTTTTATAAGGCCAGTTTTCTTGTCAAGTTCATACTTAACCTTGCTGCCTTTGCTAATTTCAATAACCTGCCATTTGAGTCCATAACAATGGACGTTATAATGGGTATAGAGCATAAATCACAAAGTGTCTTCTTCAATTAGCCTACAACAAGAATCTTGGACTTTAGTAAAGGAAATCAAGGGAATAATATCGAAGGGGAAACTAAATGACACTGAGATACCATTAGAACGGTTATCAGTAATAATGTGGAACTTCCTAACAATTGGCTAGCTTTGCAATGGTTAAGCACACCACAAACTATCAAACAATTTCATCATCCAGAACTTACAACATTGAAGACTCCCCCATCTAACATTCCCATAATCAGCAAGAATGTGGAACTTCCTAACAATTGGCTAGCTGTGCAATGGTAAACCATACCACAAAATTTCAAACAATTTCACCATCCAAAACTTACAACATTGAAGACGGATGGAGCACCGGGTCCTGCATAGATGTGAAAGGCCGGTGGGTTAACATGGTCAATGGAGCAGAATGCAAGAAAGATGACAACCATAAGCATACAGTTTCAGCATAATTGGTAAACCCAAATGAAGCCTGGAGTAGGTTACCAATCTCCAAATCATGCCAGGGGTGAGCAGCTACAGATCTACGTGTCATCGAAGAAAGGATCCTTTCATTGAGTGCTGGACGGGGGTATTGCGAGGACCTACCAGTTTCTCCACCGTTTCCAGCCATCCTGATCGTTCACTACAGATTCAACACAGGTCAATGATACCTCAAATCAGTCAACAGAAGACAAGATCAAATTGAAAAACTTGTCAACATCGAAGCACCCGACATGATTCAGTCTATTAAAGGTTGATCGAAACACAATCATTCAAAAAAGCATTAAAGCACTCGAAAAGTAAGAAAAAAGGGCAAAAAGGAAGGGTAGCCATTGGGTTGTGATCGTTTAAGCAATCCGAGTAAATTCGATCAACAAAAGTGGAACAAACAGATCAATTAGGTGATGGTGGATCGATGGAACCGAAGAAAAGCCAAAAGCTGACAGGGACAGTCCAGGTTAACAAAAGAAAATCATAACAAACTCTACACCACTGAATATCGATAAGGAGCTAAATCTAATGGATTGCAACAAGCTTTCGCTCTAATTCGATCCCTACTCATCAGCAGCAATCTCACATGGAAATCGCCGAGTCAATCCACAGAAAGCCTGCAACTATCAAACCGCCATAAACTCATTTCGTAGTATAAACAGAAAGTCAAAAATCGATCATCCATCAAACTCAGTACACCATTCCATCGGCGTGAAGAAACAACTGAATCAAGCTATTCCAATCATCAACCGAACGAGGAGTAAGGAACTAGCATCGAAGATGAATGGGAGAAAAGCAAAAAACGCAGGAGGAAGATGAGATAGAACAATGGGACGAAGGGGAGCAGATTGACTGGGAGCAGGAACTTACAGAGAAGAAAGCAAAGCAAATGACGTGAGGAAACTGAAGCGAGTGGGAGAAGCGTGGAGAAGCAGAGTGCTAGTTTTGCGCTTTTCTGTGATTTTATAATGAAATTGCAAAGTGTAAGACAGTAAAGAGGTAATGCGATGACGGGGGGAAGGGTAAGACTTCAGTGGGCCGCGGGGATTTCAACGCCTGGTCTCGCTTCTTGAGTGGATATCGACCGTTGGATGCTATTCGTAGCAGATTTTGGTCGTGCGGGTGAGAATGCCCGAATTGATTTTGGGCATTTTTGGGTTGGCGTTTTAATTGGGCTACTCTTTAATTAGGTGTTTTTACTTGGTGATCCTTTGATGGGAGAGTTGTTATTGGGTTTCAATAGGAGATTTGATGATCATTTGATTGAGGAGTTGGTGTAGGTCAAATAGTTCTTACTTTTACTCTTCATTTTTTTAATCAAATAATAGTTAGTAAATTATAAATTATGTTAATTTTTTTTTCTACACATCCTCAAGTAGTACGAACAAGGGTTTGGTCTAGTGGTAATACTATTAAGTATTAACTTAGAACCTGGAGGTCCCAGGTTTGAATCCCTTAAATAGTACCTTAATTTTAAAAAAAATTACAAACCTATATCACCCTTATAAAAAAAAATTTAGGGGTGGTAAACGGTTAGTTAATTATTATTATTTTTAACAAAAGATAATCATATTGATTGATAAAAAGATCACGGATTACACCCTGTTCCCAACCCAGGTACTAAAATCATACAATTGACACGAAACCGGAGAAAAATAAAGGGTCTTCCTAGCCACTGAATGGGCTACCCTATTGCTAATCCGACCACGAATTGAACACAAAAATCACTATTCAGAGCCACACACGCAGAATCTCCTGGATAATAGCCCCAACACGGTTGTCTTCCGCATCCTTGGTATTAATCTTATCAATGAGCACCTTCGCATCACCTTCAAATCGTACTTGAGGAATGCCAAGATTCTAACACCACTAAATAGCTTCATGGAGGACAATAGTCTCCACCATAAGAGGGTCGACAATGTTTTCAAGAACCATTCCTCTTGCTAAGAGCACAAACCCGTCTCCATCCTTTAAGATCAACCCTCCAGTTGAATGTGAGTCAGCATGTACCGCACCATTCCACATATAGTCGACAGAGAGCAAATCTACCACCTCCAGATTCTGCTGCAAAATAAACCGATCTCGGACGGGAGGACCAACCTATCCTCTGATAAGGACACCCATTCATGGATTTTCTGATGGTATTGACGCATCAGTTGAGGAATCAAGAATTACTTTCTCAAAGGCCGTCCGGTTTCTAGATTTCCAAATACGTCACAGGAGCGCCACCAGAGCCATAATCAGAGCCGGCTGGGTCATCCTAAGCAAGCAATTTCTAAGGAAAAAAGAAAGGTTTGTCGCAGAAAACCGTGCCCCAGATGCTCCAATCCCGAATGAGTCCAGAGAGCTGTAGCGATTGGACACTCCCAAAAGAGGTGCTCCATCGTTTTAGATTCCACCCAACACACCGGGCATCGAGGCAAAATCTAGAGCCTTTTCTCAATCAAAGATTTAGTAGTAGGCAGGATACGGTTGAAAATTTTCCTCATGAACAGTTTTAGCTTAGGCTGTTCTCACATTCTCATCCAGCTCGCCCTATCCATCCAACTCACCATGGGGCGCCACACCCCAACCTGTCTATCCACAAAAACTGAAGGTGGTAAGCAGACTTGACAGTGAACACTCCATCACACGTATCATGTCATACCAATCTATCCTCTATACCCATACGGGGCAAGGGAACCACCATGATGGCAGGTACTACATCTGGTGGAAAGATCTGTCAAAGAGATTGTCGACACCATCCTCCCCCGGAACTATAAGCTCGACCACATTCAGATCATTGCCCTCCAGAATGACATGAGGATCGCACAGAAGAGGATGAAGATGAGTATACGGGCCCCAACTGGAATGTTGGATAGAGGCATGGAGCCCATTCCCAATCTTCCACCGGAGTCCTCGTTGGAGGAGGAGGCGGCCATGGAGAATACTCTGCCACCCCCACGATGAGCGAGGCCGCGCAGTCGCTGTTAGGAATGTACCATTCGAAAAGTACTTGCCTTTGTATATCTAGGCCAAGAGAGAATCAAGTTCGTTGAGAATCCACCATCCTATCTTAGCCAGGAGGGCTTGATTAAAATGCCCGAACCGCCAAAATCCCATCCCCCCATCATGTTTACCCGTGCACAAATTCTGCCAGGAGATCTACCTAATATGAGGGCAGCCCCATTCGATCCTCCACCAAAATCTAACCACATGTTTATCTAGAATGCGGCAGAGTGAGAGAGGGTGTTTAAAGCAGGACATAACATGGAGTGGCAAAGAGAAAGCAAATGATTCAACCAATGTCTCCTTGGCAGCCCATGAAAGCACCTTCTGTTTCCATCCCTGTAACCGTTCCAGCAACTTCTTCTCCAAATAACAGAAAGTAGTCATCTTGGACTAAGCAATCAAGGTAGGTAAGCCCAAATATTTATCATGCACTCCTACCTCTCCTACACCAAGACAGAGAGCATGGGTTTCTTGATCTACAAGCAGAATATTCTTACTAAAGCACACTGCGGATTTAGCCAAGTTGACCCTTTGCCCACTAAGCTCCTCATATTTGTTCAAGACGTCCAACTGGTTTTCACATTCTTGCATTGATTCTCTGAGGAATAGATATGAATCATCGGGAAAGAAAAGATGTGAAACACGTGGAGCTCTGGGACTAACCCAGACGCCTGCTAGCTTCCGCTCCTCGATGGCCTTACGTATGATCGCCACAAAAACCTCTATGCAGATGAGAAAGAGGAGGGGAGACAAAGGATTGTGCTGTCAGAGTCCCCGAGTCGAGTTAAAATAACCAACTGGTGTACCATTCATAAGAACATAAAACGAGGAGGAACACAAGCACTCCTCAATCCATTGTACTCAAGTCGGATTAAACCCTATTTTTTCTAAGACCGCAAAGAACGACCATTCGACTCTATCATAGGCCCTTTCCGTATCAACCTTCAGATCCATATACCCCTTCTTACCCTTAGTCTTAATCTTAAGGTAATGCATCAATTCATGTCCAATGAGAACATTATCCACTATCTGTCTTTCACGATAAAAAGCATTCTGCCCCACCGAGATTAACTTAGGGAAGAACCGAGCCCATCGTTCAGACATAATTTTAGCAATGATTTTGTAAACGAATTGACATAAACTTATAGGGGGTCCGGATACTATAACAACACACATAGTGTTGTTATAGTAACAACAGGGGTAAAAACGGAAATTAACAACAAAATTAAAAAAAATACATTTTCAAGTCCTGGCTGCCCTCTCTAGATCTCCCATACGCTTCCCTCCGCTATCGGCAGGAACGCGGCTACGACTCCGATCTGGCGGCTACGACTCCGATCTGAAAGCTACGATTGAGGCGTCCTTCAATCCCCGTCGTTTCAGCCACGGAAACCCACTCCTCGTTGCCTTCTCGACTTCGTTGGAACAGGAGGAAGACGACGAGCACGGCGGCGGAGTCGGCGATATAACGCCACCGCTACCAAATTCGGTCGCCGCTTTTCTCTGGCACCGGAAGAAATTCCTCGACCCCAACTCTTGAAGCTTCTCTGCCACAACAACTTGAATGTCGAATCGCAACAGGTGAGAGGAAAGGGGTTCAGAAAGAAGCCTTTCAACTTGGGATTTACATACGCCATGGCTAGATTGTTGTAGCCGAGGCGAGCAAGTATCGGTTCTAGGAGAGCGATGTCGATGTGGGAGAGAGTGCATGTGGAATCGCGAGCATAGAGCGATGTCGATGTGGGAGAGAGTGCATGTGGAATCGCGAGCATAGCATGTCATCTGCTGCTGCTAAAGTTGTGGAATCGACGCCGATTAGAAGGAGCGGCCGTAGCGGAGGTCGGGAGGCAGAGTGAGGAAGATGCAAGACGACGGCTGATTGGGGAAGGATGGCGGGAGCGGGAGAAGGTTGTGATGATGGCGGAGAGAGTGCCGGAGGGGAGAACTTTTTGAGCAGTGGGAACAGGGAAGGTTTTATGTGTTTTTTCATTTCCAAATGCTTCGTGAAGAGTTGATGCAGATGTAGTAGTGGAAGGAGATAGAGAAGAAGGAATTCTTGTTTTTTTAATGATTTATTATATTTCTCATGTGCATTGTTGAGGGCATGAATTCGTGTTCGTGTTTTGAATACCCATTGTTGATTCTGAAAAGTTCAATTTAGTTGTTGCTTTTGTCGAATATTCGTTGTTCTTAACCACATAAAAAATCTCTTAATATAAACCACAAATACGGTAAATCAAATCACAAAAAGCATGTCAGAAATCTGTTAATGCAAACCATAAATCTCTGAAAACATACCAGAAACCTCACAAAGCATACCACAAATATTTATGATGCACACGAGAAACCTCATAATGCAAACCACAAACACGATAAAGCAAACCACAAAAACAAACCAGAAACGTCCTAATGCAGACAAAAAATCTACTAAAACAAACCAAAAACCTCACAAAGCAAACCACAGAATTTTCAAAAGCACACCAGAAACCTCTTAATGCAAACTAGAAACACGATAAAGCAAACCACAAAAACAAACTAGAAACGTCCTAAGGCATACCAAAAATCTATTAAAACAAACCAGAAACGTCCTAATGCAGACCAAAAATCTATTAAAACAAACCAGAAACCTCACAAAGCAAACCACTGAATTTTCAAAAACACACCAGAAACCTCATAATGCAAACCACAAAAACAAACCAGAAACCTCCTAATGCATACCACAAATCTCCTAAAACAAACCAAAAACCCCACAATGCAAACCACAAAGTTTTTGAAAGCAAACCAGAAACTTCTCAATGCAAACCACAAACACGATAAAGCAAACCAGGAACTTCGTAATGCAAACCACAAACGCGATAAAGCAAACCACAAAAGGCATACAAAAATGTGAGAAACCAAACCATAAATCTCACAATGTAGACCATACATCCGGTGGTCGTTGACCGTTGACCGGTCAACGAAGACCGTTGACCGAACTCCGGTGACCGTCAGTGAGCAGATTCCGACGCCGATAGGCATATTCCGGCCCCGGTGACTAGATTCCGACGCCGGTAAGCATATTCCGACGCCGGTAAGCATATTCCGACTCCGGTAAGCATATTCCGGCCACAAAATAGTATATTCCGGCGACAAAATCCACATTCTGGTGACCGGCGACCATTTTCCGACGACCGGTGGCAGAATTCCGGCGACCAAATTTTTGGGCAGAAAATAAAAAATATTTTTTTATTTTTTTATTATTTAAACATATTTTTCATAATGACAATTATACCCCTGTTTTGATTTTACACTAGGTCAACTCAACTAATAAAAAGTCATCACATCCCTAGCTTCCTATTGGTTGGGGACTAGTGTTGTTACAATAACAACACAATGGGTGTTGTTACAATAACCGGTCCCACTTATAGGTCTCAACTGGCGCATATTCTCCACATTATCCACTTTGGGAATTAGCGTTAGCTAAGTGTGGTTAAAGTTTCGTAACATCCGTCCTGTTCAAAAAAAGAAGCAAATAGCTTCCACCACTGACTCACCAACGATATCCAATAATTTGCCAAAGAATTTTCCAATGAACCCATCCGACCCCGGAGCCTGAGTGGATCCAATCAAGAAGACTGTTTGTCGTATTTTTGACGTTAGAACCTCAGTAGTTAGAGCCGCATTCATCTCCTCTGTTACCGTCCGAGCAATAGGTAGATCATCCACCCAGGCCTCCTTATCATCTACATGGTTCTCAGAGGTAAAGAGAAGCTGGAAAAAATCAACAAAAATATCTTCCTTCCCCTTCTCATCGATGATCCATTCATCATCCCCATTCCTCACCCAACCACAAAATTTCTTTTTCTCCTAGCCTTTGTGACGGTGTGGAATTAAGATGTATTGTTATCACCTTTTTTGAGCCACCATACTCGATATTTCTGTTTCCAGTAGATCTCCTCAGCCTCCCACTGGCAACTAAGCTCCGTCTCGAGGTCCCGAACACTGTCTCAATCAATAGGAGTCAGGTGCTTTACCTTCTCAATCTCTGTCTGGAGAGTTTTGATGTTTCAAAGGGAATTAGTCATACCATCCCTACTCTCGTCATATGGAAGATGGCGGAGGAGTTTTAATTGAGCCCATAACGTATACATGTGAGATCCTTGGATAGCATCATTCCACACAAACACGACCATTGCTCTAACTTCAGGATTCTTCGCCCAACGTGCATCGAACCTGAATAGAGGCCGACTCTGTCACGTGAAAGGTTTATCAGATAAGAAAAGAGCTCTATGGTCTGACCCTTGATCCATGTGATGCTTCACCAAGGACTCAGGGAACTAGTCCATCCAAGACTGAGAACATAAATTTCGATCAAGTCTTTCCTGAACACAAGCCTGTCCCATCCGCTTATTGGTCCAAGTGAATTGATCCCCCTAGAAACCCACATCATGGAGTCATAGATCGTTCACAGAGTTCCTAAGAGCAACGGAGCGGGTCGGGTTTCAAAGGATACCCTACGACTCGATCTTTTTTTTTTTTACAAGAAAACTAGATCAGGCTTATTAGAATAAAGTAAACCTACAGCAGTATAGAATGTGAGGGTTGGTCCAATCCCTCTCACATTCAAATCCAAAATCCTCATTTATCCACATGGAGCCATTCCGGACTGGCTACCTCCACCTCTTCAGTCTGTTCTTCCACTTCAACGAATTGGCGTTTGGTTGATGGATCCTCTCTCTGATCATCATCTGATTCCTGAAAAGCTCGCTTCCTCGATCCCACCACTAGATGACCCTCATTAGAACCGTACTCATTTGATGCAATTCCTCAGATAGCCGATCCCCTTGAGGCTCTTCCGCACTCACCAGTCCAGGTCCAGACCCCTTAGCGAGCTCTATCGATGCCTTACCTTCAAAGGCTTCAACAATACGTCGAACACGGCCCACCCCTGGCACAGCCGAGCTAGTCCACACAGTGTGAACAAAACGACACTTTAAATCAAAATTATGGCCATCAGTCTCCATATCAGAGTTGGAATACCCCTCAGAAAACCGTCTTCTTAGAATCCTCCTCCACTTGTGCCGATAAGCCCACCTGGACCTTTCTTGTAAGAAAGTTTTAAGGAGAGGGAGAGGATAAGAGGTCATCATTAGCCTCATCAAACATCATACTGGACTGCTCTATCCCAGAATCACAACTCAAAGTACTACGATCCAGTCTTGTCTCCGTAGCAGAGCGTTTCCCCTTCTTCTTCTCTCTCTACCATTTTTTCCTTTCCCTTTCTTTTTGTAGGCATGCGCCCACTTCCCTAACTCCTGTCAGCATCACCAGAGGCTATCTCAGAACCCAGAAGGTCCCTCTTCATTGTACTTTCCTCATACTGCATACGTCTAGAGCGACCCTAGACTTCCATGCTAATGTGTTGACACCCATTCTCCTTTCCCACGAATCGAGGAGATGTTTCCCTAGGTCTTGCCCCCTGGACTCCCTGGGTATTTGAATCATCTGGACCTTCTCTTTTGTCCTACGCGGAACCCTTTCACTAGGGGTTGCATTCTTTCTCTGATACTAGTTACTGTCCTAGCCACGACCATTTCTGGAAGCCTTCTGGTGCTCCTCCATCATAGGAAGTTTCCTAGCCAACATGGACTTCTTGCTTTCCCCAATCTGGAGCTTCGATGATTTAGCTACCATGAAGCCACGTGGGCTTCTTCCTTCACTCTTTATGTCCTCCCTGCGCTTTGCCTGGTATAGGAAGTCCCCAATTTTCACCGGTCTCCTGGTCGAGGTATTATTATGCCTGTAGGAGGTGTTGGCTCCACCATCTCGTTCGGCTTCTGCTGCTTACTATTTTGTCCTGCATTCCTCATCCCAGCCGCCTCAGGATTGACCCAAACTGACTTAGAGGCCCCATAGACTGATCGGTTGTCATATTCATCTCCATAGAGCTTTTCTCCAAGCGCTTTGGTAGACATATGTGGCCCAAACCTCTCTTTCCCTTGTGGTGGATCAAAAGCACATGTCTGAAAGCAGTGTCCCACACGCCCACACTTGAAGTAGAAGTTTGGTAGGAACTCATACTTCAAGCTGGCCCAAAAACAACTAGTTTCCTCAATCAGGGCCATGATCTGAGAGCAGAGTGGTTTGTTGAAATCGATGATAGCTTTCATCTTGATGAATTTTTTTTCCTATATGGCATGCATAAACACCTGCTTCAAGGACTCTTCCAATAGCTGACTGAACCATTGTCCGTCCAAACTTAGGGGTACAACAATCTTCATTCACATCCTATATCTGAATACCGAAAGGAGCTCGCGCCATTTCTTCATAAGTACGAAGCGTGACGTTATGAATCCAGCTCCACAAGTGGAGGATCTTATCCTTGATAATCCAGGGGGTCCTCTACAACACCCACTTCTTACAGGCTTCACTGGGAAGAGCGAACTCCAAAAATCCTTGTAGGCCCTCAAAAACACGTGTCAGCCCCTGGCCTTGCCATGCAAACATTCTACCAAGTAGAGTGCGGGAAGCATGGAAGTGGGAGGATTGAACCTCTTTGAACTTGAATTGCACAATCTGGTTCTTGACAACGTGAGCCATAGTTTCTCTATGGGTTGCTCTAGGGACTGAACAAGAAACCTGATCATTCATCAAAACACCATGGTTACATGACAAAACCAAGTAATTACTAGTACATTCCCAAACATAGAAAATATCACACATTATAGTGACCAAAGTAGGCAACCCAATAAAAAGAGGATAACATAAAATTAGGCGCAGGAATGGACACATAAAAAGAATAA